CATAGGTATAGGTTCTGCTCCTGCTTGGGTTTGCTACGCTGCCTTACTTACACACACCGACCGAAGTCGCTCGCAGCAGCCGACCTATCTTATACTTGCGCAGAGCCCAGCTCTCGTGTCTATTCGTGAACGACGACTTGACCATATATCTCTTGCAGGAGATCGACCTTGACCGGTGCAACCGAAACCCCTTGTTACAGCTGCAAGTCGAATCATCCTCTCGACTCAACCCATCTCAATTTGACTTCATCATCTGAGTTCTCGGCTCTCTTCGAACCCTTTGAAGCTGCGTCGTCGCTTACAGGACCCTGAAAGCACCACGCTAGAACCTTTTCCAATTCCACCTTCACCCACAATCGCACATTGGGTCAGGGTTGTTTGTTGGATTACCATTTCCTTACCTATTTAAATCCACCTAGGAACTGGGGCGCGCACACTGCACTGCACGCTGAGCGCAAGCCTGGCCTGGCGCAAACGCCGCGACGGAGCATCGTGACCTCTTTTTTATTTCTTTTACTGGGGTTTCGAGTTTACTAGTCGACAGTCGCTTTGTTGTGTCCTGTCTGGGTTTCTCTATATTTTCCTCCCCCTCTTCTCTCTCTTCTCGACTTTCCTCACGATCTCCTACTTCTCCGTCCTCAGCTTTGAGCAGACCACCGCCAATAAACACCCTGCTGTCTGCTGGTGGTTTGGCTTCCGCACCTGCATTGGGCTCACCCTCTGATCCACCACCACACTTGAGTTTTTACGTACAGACTCTCGCCTGTACCTTTCAACTTTACCTTTCACTTGGTGGTCATATCCTGTTTTGCCTCCCAAGCCGGCATCCCGTGGGCCACCCCCGACTTAATACCGGCTCTGGCTCTGTTCCGACCTGTCTCCGCTCCGTGGCCGGTGGCTTCTGCCCTCGAGTCAAGTTCCGATAGCGACGTGATATTTTCTTTTTCTTCCCACTCACACAGAGAGTGCATCAGCGCACTGCTATAGCATGCCCGCTCAACTAAACGGGTCCATGACCGCCAGCATCCCCATTCGAATACCCGGCGACCAGGTCCAGGCTCAGGCTCAACCTGCTGTTTTTTACAAGCAGCACAAGCATTCCAGATCTTCTTATTCCGATTCTTCTCCGCTCGCAAATTCAAGGAACAATTCTTTAACTTTCCGTCCTTATAAGAGGCTCATGTCAAACCCAGACAAGACCATCGCTGTCATCAACGCCAGCGGGCGACAGGCTGCGTCTTTCATCCGCGTCGCCACTGCCGTTGGTTATCATGTGCGCGCTCAGTTGAGAAATCTCGACGGTGTCGTCGCTGCTGAAGTTTCGGGGAATCCCAATGTTACCGTATTCGTCGGCGAGCTCTACACAAGACATCAGCCCTCTGAAGCAAACCGTGATGTTACCAAACACGGCCCGCTGGCCGGTGTCGGCGTCAACTACGACTTGATCGCAAGTCTGTTCCGCGGCGCACAACTCGCCTTCATAAATACAACGTTTTACGGCGATGAGATTCAAATCGGAAAAGCCCTAGCCGACGCCGCTAAGCGCGCGGGAATTCAACACTACGTGTACTCGTCCATGCCCGATCATGGTGCTTACAACCCCGAATGGCCCTCATTACCCCTCTGGGCTGCCAAGCATGAGGTTGAGCAATATGTGCGCAAACTCAGAATACCAGCCACTTTTGTGTACACTGGCATCTACAACAACAATTTCACCTCCCTTCAGTATCCCCTTTTCTGCATGGATCTGCAAAAGGACGGCTCGTTCAAATGGCAAGCGCCTTTCCATCCCGACGCCAAGCTACCCTGGTTAGATGCCGAGCACGATGTTGGTCCCGCGGTCCTGCAAATCTTCAAGGATGGGCCAAGCAAATGGAACGGAGAGCGCATTGCACTTGCATACGAATACTTGACACCTAAGGAGGTGTGTCGACTCTTCTCTAAAGGGGTCGGCCGTCCTGTGCGCTATGTGCGAGGCCCCATTGAAATCAAGGTTCGAATCCCTGAAGGCTACCGGGAACAGCTCGTCGGTCTTGAGAAACTGTTCGACCCGAGTCAGAAAGACCCTCGAAAGCAACCACCTTACTTCGGTGACCCCAAGGTCGAAGTCAGTTGCCCAAGTGAAGCCTTGGAGTTGTGGGAAGGCCCTCGAGGTATCGAAGAATACGCACGTGAGATGTTCCCCATAGAAGAGGAAGCAAATGGTCTCACATGGATGCTGGATGATGATGCGAGTGACGATGAAGAGGTGCACAATACAGCAACCCATGTCGAGCAACTGAGAATCCACGACGGGGACGATGATAGCGACGACGATAATGACGACGGCCTTGTCATAAAAGGTCGCAAGCGGGACGAGGAAGAGTGGTTAGCATAATGGAAACCCATGGCGTCTGGATCTTGGCTAAAATACGACATCAAAAGCAGGAAAGGGGTTAAAAAAGAAGAGTTAGTCCATCGGAATCTAGAAGCCCAGTGCTGAGACGATTACGGAACGGAGCAGACCTGGCGACGCGGCATTGCATTTCGGCAGGAGTTGTGTTTTTGGAGAGGCGTCTCTACCGGCGTAGGTTTGGTCTAGGAACCTAAACGATTTTATTATGACTTGTCAATGGATGAAATAAAAGTAACGAATTACCTTTGCCCTCGATTTTGTTATGCCTTTAGCCTGTGATGTGTGTTGAAGTTGGCAGTCATTTGTAGATGATGCTCGTGCAACTCCACGAGACTGAGGTCCGATACCAGCAGACTGGTCCGATACCTCTTGCTTGAAGGCCACCATCAATCTAAATGACTGGTGCTTGGCTCAAATGTCTGACTGCTCTTAAGTAAGACACACCCAACAACGAGCTGGCAAAAGAGTGGGTGTCGGTAGAACGATAGCATACAAAGTGAACATGGAAGACGGATGGCTGCCTCAACGGAGCTAAAATGAAACAGGGAGCTCAGCTGCTTCTTATATACGATTATCTTAGAGCCAGGACTAATGGATTAATAAACGGCCACCTCGTCATGCACAACACCACTAGGTTTATCTGGCCCCTTACATCAAGATGCTGGTTTGTCATAACAAGGTTTAACAGTATATCATGGCAACACCATTTAGCACCCCCGCGTATCCGCCCTCCGTACCGTTGAACGTGGCTCCCATGTAAGACCGCGTGGGGTTATGTTTATTCTCGACAGACTTGCTTTGTAAATGGTTATCATATGTGGTTCTTCTATGCTTTCTTGGTGAAGTTTAGATCATATGGCAAGAATCACACAAGGACCGGAATTGCTACATTGACTACCCCGGAATCAAAGACTCGCCAAGATTATCGCCACGGCGGTCGAGTTACACGCTGCGTGGGGGAGAAATCCGGGGTGACAAGGGGATGAACTCTCCGTTATCTAGCATGATTAGGGGCAATGCAGGAGAGGGTGGTCAGGGTGTTTATCTGTTATGCCTCTCCTTATCTATCAGGACTCTAGGTCCAAGATCATACAAAGATCTTCAACAACGAGACAATGAGAGCCAGGTTTTTGTGAGTTACAGAATAGTCAACAACGAGTTTCATTCTGTGCATGTCAAACAATTATGACAGAGATCAATGCTCTATCCGCTCTAATCATAAACCCAGGTGCTCAGACACTAGGATATCACATGCCTCACCTGCAACTGATAAGATACACAACTTGGTACAGTATTTCCTATCAAGGCCGCGGAGTCGAGTCGGATATCCAGAAGCTTCAGAAGACATTCAAGGCTTGATCACAAGTGCCCTCGGTCGTTGAAGGCTAATCGAGCCTCTATTATTGCCAAGGCGAGAAGATGACTGGAGTGGACGGTATAATACTCTTGCCACCGACATATTTCGAATATCAGAGATATTGATCCTTGCTGGCTATCCACGATAAGGAGACTACTGTTCTTTTTGAATTAGGCTAGGGGAGGAAATAAAACTCAGGACCTTGATCCTAAATGACAAAAAGACCTAGGCAAACTGGCATAAGTTTAGGATATTTTTGCCAAATCTAAGATACATTTTGTTGAATTTATTTTGATATCCTTTATTCAAGTCCCATATTTTCTTCGATAATCTCGTCGGGATCAGCTGGGTGATATACGTTTTGTTTATTGATATTGTCACGTTCTTTTTCGAACTGCTCTCCTTCTTCAGCGACCACTGATGGCCCGGGGGTTATCGTCTGATCGCTCTTTCAGGGCCTGGAAGTTTGAACAGGAGCATATGGTGATCATCTTGCTGGGCTTATTTGCACCTTTTTGGGGGGCCTGGGAGGATAAGGACTAACAACTTTAACAGAAAACATATATCGGTGATACCGTGCTTGAAGTACTAATAGAATCCGTCATCTTAAGTACAAATATTTATTTTACCATCACTATTGATTGCTTAAGAAGTATCCACTAAGAGTTAAGAGTAAGGAGATTATAGTTATACAGGAAATAAACAGGGATATAGAGTCAAAGAATTTATAGACAAAGAATCAGGATCCTGAACTCAGTAATTATATCTTTCAAGTAACTTACCAATACGCCACCGAATATTCCACCGAGTTATGCGAGGTATTTGATAGGTATCTAACGTGGACTGTCGAACTACCGGATAAAAGAGGCTCGGTTTTTCTAGGCAGTTAGCTAACAGCTTTTTATTATATTAATTATACTTACCCCTAGTCTCCCGTTATCGCTCTCGTTGCTCGATATCCTCAGTAATTATGAACAGCTGTTCCCCCTGGTTTGGTTGATTGTGGGAGACAGGTAGTTCTGCGAGACATAGTGAAGCCTCTTTTAACCTCTCAACCTTATCACAGCCTCTTTCACAAGAGTAGTTCGGGGCTTTTCGTCCCAGTCTCGCAAAATTCCGGGACCACGACCCTAAAGGATGAAATCTTTACAGAACTTTAGGATGAACTTAGATAAATTTTGTATTAACTTGGGAGAGCTTTTTCTTAGTTACTTCTAATACCCTGGTATGTCTTCAGCCATTTCCTCTATGGCAGACGTCGTGAAGAGCATCCTGGGAACACACCATCTCCAGCCAATTGATCTTATCGACCTTCCAATTGTCGATGAAAGCTTTTGTTTCTGGGGTGTCTACCTGGATGTCGTACTCAAGAACGACACAGACCTCGTCGAGGGTGTTTACCTTGGCTCCAGTCTGGGGTACAAAGGGTAACAAAGGGTAACTTGGGATCTCCGGTCGTCGTGTCGCCATTCACCGAACGTTCTCATTGAGAAATCATAACGACCTGCCAAGAGATGTTAAGTGTCACCATTATAGTGTGGCCTGCAAAGACGATGTCACTCCACACTTCCGAACAGTCTCACTATTTGAAGTGACCCGTGGCAACGCGGTTGCATCAATTCTCGCTGAGCACGGGCTTATGATATACCTCTCAACAGTGGCATGGGCATACCCCAATCAGCTGAATCTCTTTCACGAAAGCAGGAATGGAATCCAAGGTCTTCCTGACTTCAGTGACATCGGTCTGAACAGGGCCCTACCCTTAGCCCAAAATCAACATTGGTTACCTTGCAATAGGACCATTTATCAAGGATGGCTGAATGGAAAAAACCAAGAGGACCAAGTTTTAAATGTGGCCGCCCATTCACCAATCTGCCAGATGAAAAGAGATGGAAAGGCTTTTTCGAAGCGAGACGTTGCGCTGCCTGTTGGCTCCATTGATGTAAGCACAAGGAGAACTGCCCCGATCTCATTACTGACGCAAGGATGCACGAGGTCTTTGGTTGGCTGGGGCAACCCTAATGTATGTGGGAATCCAGCATGCGAAGAGCCAAGAACTCCTGCAAATATGCGCAAATTTCGTTTTTGGGGTCAGGATATGCGATGCGCAGGTTGTTACCTGCATCTAAGAACTCACGGCAGCGATAACAATAGCCCGAAATATGGGCAGACGGCGGCGGGTCATCGCAAGTGGGTAGAGAAGGGGCACGACGATGTCTATGGAACATGTCGTGTACCTAGCCAGATTGATAGCCACCTCGTTGGAGGGAAAGGCTGGAAGGCAGCATCTAAATACCCGGCCTGCGCTCGCAAGCCAACCAAGAAAGAAGATGAGGAGTGGAGGGAGCTGTATGGGGATATCAGCGCAATATGTGGTGTAGACCGCGAGTATACCATTTTCATAATGCGCCGCACGGAGAAGAGGGCTTGTGCTCTCCTCCAAACCAGGAAAAAAGGGGATAAAACATCTGACGAGGTCGATGAAGGCGCCTCCCAAGACTAGAGCCGATATACTCCTTTAACATTAGCGTCTTCTAGACACGCAAATAAACTATTCCCTCCTCCCCTCCTTTCTCACGATCTTGGCAGATGCAGGTGTTTCAGGCAGCAGGTCGCTATCTTTAACAGACCGATGCAGATGAATGGCCTGCCCTTGAGCTTTTCGAGTCCAAGAACGTGAATACCCCAGGGACGGCCCGTTCATTGAAGAGTAGGAAAGGACTTGAAGAAACCGATAGTAGGGGCATGTTAGAGGATAATAAAGCTTCTATAATGCCAGGGGAAAACATAAGAGGGCATAGCAAGAGTACTCCGTAAAGTACCTCTTCTTGCGGGAAGAGGTAGTCAAACGATGCAGTCTTCAAAGCCCGATGGGTCAGAGACGGTAGTTGCCACGTGAGAGGTTGGAAGTATACGACATCTTCAGGCAGGGAATATGAGATGGTACCCATTGAAAAGCTGTAGGACGTGAAAAGATGGTAGAAACAGCTTGGTGCAGAGATGCCTTGACCAACCCCTTGAGCCGTTTTATGACCATGTTCTTCTCCCCATAACAGCTATGCACGAGTCGCATCGTCGCAGGTCCTATTTGTTCCTAATGTCATAGTCAGTGCTGGTCTATTCCGCACATGGTCGATATATTGCTATGTAATGGGCTGCTGACCATTCTTCTTCTTCTTCTTCTTCTTCTTCTTCCGCACTCAGCGTATAAAGCGGCACAGACTAAGGTTTCACAGTCATATCCTCGACTTCAAGTCCTTGGATGAGTTGGTGGATGCCTGGAACCATAGCTCCATCAACGAATTCAATATCGGTGGTGGCCTCGGTTTCGTCAGTCCATTGCTTTGTGTTTTGATAATTTCGTGACAACACCTTTCCAATCTATTTTTGTCTTCTCTATTGACAGGTATTTGGCATGTATGGCTCCATGTTCATTGGTGGCTTGCCAGCAAACTATCGAAGTCTGGTAACCCATCCGCCGTTGTCAGTAAGAATTGGATTGACTGCTTCTTCATCTCCAAGTTCTAGAATTTCGGATTGGTCTGGCGGCCTTTCTAGGAGTTGATCAAGCACCACATCAAGCTCATCTGCGTCGTTACAGCTCTTGCTTAAATCAAAGTTATATTTGTATGTCTTGTATATATTCAAGTCAATACTGTGTATCACATATCACGTACATTATAAATTTCACAAGGGAGACAAGTTGAAGTCAAGAATGTATCATTTCTTGCTCATGAGAGTTATGCTTGTCGACTGCATTTTCATCTCAGTCGAGATTTAAAAACATAAAAACAAACAGATAGCAAAGGGCATTCATAATACCCCCCTCCACAATCTGCCCCCATTTCCCATGGAGCTCAGCATGCCCCTTCTCTAGATGATGACATGGTAACGCCGGCCAATCTTACGAGCTTAGGCCGTTTTCGACTGCCTTGACCATGTTGTAGTGCTCCTCAAAATCGTCGCTGATAAGTTGACACTTAAGTGTCCGGTTGTTGACTTGCAACTCGTGTGGGATGTGAGGAGGGTGGTCAGTCCCATCCTTGGCAAACCGGACGGTATGCATTCGTGCAAGGGAAATGATAAGCTCCGAGTTGTACTCGTCGACGCGGGTTCTCTCGCGCATATCCCAGTTCACAATGGCAGCGTCAATGGCCTTTGCCATTGTGTATCCATCTTTAAACCTGACAAACTCGGCGCTCACAGTGAGGCCACTCTCATCCTTCTAGCAAGTCTTAAAATCCTTGCCTTGAGAGTTTGCCTCAAATGAGACGTTCAAGTATGCACTAGCGTTGGCCATGCGATGGGGGTTCGTCTGGAAGTCTTGGCCTTGCTTCTGTTTTGATGGCGTGACGGGTAGATTCTTGATGAAGTAGCCGGCGGCTACAGACGTTTCCTTGAGTTTCTTGACGTTCAAGACAGGCATAGCGATCATGTTGTCATCTGAGTTCCAGGCAAAGAACACCTTTTCAAAGAAAAGGTCCCGCATTTTATCAGTGATAGCCTGGGCGCCTGTTCCAGAGACTGGGCGAGAATCACACTATTCCTGCAAAAGATCATGGAAGCTAGATTTTTCCTGCTCTGAGAGTTCTTCCGCTCCAAGGATAGTGGTGTTGGCCGCACGGTTGACAACTTGTCCGTCGGACATGATGATAAGTGTTTCCTGAGTCCAACCGTCAGTCAAAGACTCGTATGAGTTAATAGGGTTGTAGGCTTACCGAGATGCTTTGAAGAGTTCTTGTTTGAATGTTCACGAGACGGAATCCACAGGATGTGAGAGCAGATGGTTACGTTCAAGTTTTTCTGTTTCAGAATTATCGTAATTAAAACCAAGTTGAGCGAGCGCTTGCTATTGTTGAAATGAATTCTATTGTCGAGTGATGTTCGAGAAGAACAATAAAATAAACGTGGGACCAGTTGACCATGATGAGCTCTTGTGTAACACGCTAGACACACTGGTTCAACGTCCCTTAGAGGCGGCAGTGCCACGGAGCTTCGATATAAACTATAGTGATTCCATGGTTATATTCACCTTGGTTCGTTTCGGTCACCAAGGTCAGTCATTTCCACGGTGAGTAAATGCAGATTAAGTAGTATGAGGTTGGGGCATACGAAACACGAAACAGGAAACGCACTTGTGGCACAGCTCATATCGAAACTTGGAATACGCTACTGCATTGTGCCGACGAAAATTTCATTCTCTATTGCATTTATTCGCGTTTTATATCCGTCTGAACAATCAATATAAGACAATATGTCAAGAAACAACGCTAGACCACTCCCACCGAGAAGGCGACCCCTACAAGAGCGCTCAAACAATGTCACTGGGTTATCGGCAGCTCAAGAGAACCTCAAAGACAAGAGTAGCAAGTCCAATGAACCAGAAGTAGATTCAGTGGTTGATCTCAACCAGATAATTGAGGAGATCATTGACTTATGTGATACTGCAACAGAACAAGGTGTGGATCCCGATGAGGGTAAGGAGGAGGAAGACAACATCGACTGGGTCACTCGACTCAGGATCAACAAGCAAAAGCCTCCAAAGGACCTGAGTCCATTCATGCCTAATGGCCAAATTTCAATCAATGCTGCTAATGTTTAAAGATTCAACAATAAATGCATCAGTGTCACAACCAACCCCAAAGCTTTCGCAGTCCAGCAAGACCTACAAGCCGGAATCACTTTCGCGGATCGAGCAATGACTCAAGTAGTCATTGAAGTATTCCAAAGACTTGAAGTCTAAGACCTCACGAACGCATTCTCGAGAAATGTCCCTGATGTGGTGAAAACCATACTTGGCGCTGAGGAACTTCTGCCTACAGATCTTCTCTACCTTCCCCTCGTTGATAGTAGCTTTCGACTATGGGGTTTATATGTTGATATTGCAATGAATGCTGACACCGATCAAGTGAAATGAGTATATGTCGGTTCAAGTGTTGCATATAAATCCTATATTGGCATCCAAGAACGCGTCAGGCATCACGAACGACAAGCTCAGAGAGACTATAACACACTAACTACCTGAGAACAAAAGATTAAGGCACTATCAAGCGATATGCCGTGATGACGTCGAACCAAAACTTCCAGGTTTTATCCCTTTTCGGAGTAACACCTGGCAACAATATGGCCACAACTATTGCAGAACAGGTCATGGTATTGTTCTTGGGAACGATGCCATCTGCTAACCCTGTGCAAAAGCAGTTTTTATGTGATCTTCGCGCATTGATACCTGGACTCCCAGACCTTGGAGAAATAGGACTCAACTGCGCACTACTTTACTCTATGTTGAATGGCTGAAGAAAACGAAACAATTGAGTCAATATTTCAATTGTAGACGCCCTGGTGCAGAGCATTGGGCATTTGGGTTGTATGGCCCTGACTCTTGCTACAAAAGTTGTTTAGTATATCGAAGAGCTCACTAAGGGTTTAATCCAAAACAGGGGATAGATACTACCAGCGATAGGTTACTTGGAAGCTAGGTCTACGGTGACTTGTCCGTAATGAGGGTTAGTAACATGACTCTGAGCACCACCTATTCTCTGAACTTCAAGCCAGCCATTGACGTGGCATAGTATTGAATTAGGCCTTTCTTTTGGCAGAATAAAGAGTGAAGTATTGGATTGCATGAGCTTCACACTTGCAGAGAAGCCTCAGGTAGTCAGAATATTCAAGACTACCCATCAATATTAACAGCCAATTGGTCAAGGATTCTACCTAACTTACCATAACTCTTCTAAACATTCTTCTAAGATATACTAAACTTACCTAAAAGTTTTCATTACTTAGGATTCAATCCTAAGTTCTCTGCCGTTCCCTAGACTAGAACAAGCGGGGATACCTCACACGTCACGTTGTAAACAGAGCTGGTACTCAGCAGTTACTGCGACACATTACAAGAAACCCATACCAAGTTGATTCATGGATGTATACTATAGCCTTGATAACATGAAAAATACCTCAAACTCATGTAATGCAGCATCTGCAAGGTTCCCCTCTGTCTGGTCTTACTCATCAACTCGCTTGCTCCCCAACGGAGCCTCCTCATCGGCAGTTGCACCAGCATGGCCCTCAGGGAGGGCATTGAGATCATCCTCATGAATGTCGAGGTCTTTAAATTGCAGCCAGAAGCATGTCCCGGCAATGACGGCGAGGATTGCGACGACACCGTAGTTCCAAACAAGAAGAGGATCGGCCGCAAGACCAACAAGAGCCTGACCGAGGGCAGCCGAGAAAGCTGTCATGAAAAGAGCCACGGCCTGGACCATGGACCGCATGTTCTTGGGAGCCTTTGAGAAGGCATACTCAAGAGAAGTAATAGAAGCGAACACTTCAGAGAGAGCAATAAGAACATAACTGCCTGTTTGAGCCCAGACGTTGATGGGGGCTTCTGCACAGTTGTCCATTTCACCTTTTGCTTCACTCCAGATTTCACCTGAAGCATACATACCACACTCGGATTTCTGGTAGATATAGTGCTGGACAACAGCAGCCCATACCATAGCAGCTGCTCCAGTGAAGAAGCCAGCTGTGATCTTCTTGATGGGAGTAAAGCGAATACCAGCCTTTCTGAGAGCGGGATAGATGAAGAAGTCGTTAAGGGGAATGAAGATCAAGAGAGCGAAAGGGTTGAGGTTAGAAAGAATATCGTTGGGAACACCGTGGCGCTGCATTACGGCAGCCTGGGAGATAAGGTTGTTATTGACTAGTAACTGTTAGTTCAGTTGTGCTTTGCGTGTAATCTTTCGACTTGATTGTGTATGTAAGAGTTCAGAGCAATGTGGTATACAGAAGGGGGTGAGGAAGGGAACATACTCTGATTATAGCAAAGCCAGAAGATGGGATACCAGCAGAATACAGCGCAAGCGTTGAATCCTCGGCTGAGCTCATCGACCCAGGCGTCGTCAAAAGTCATCCACTTGGGACGGTTTTCATGGCTAAAGTTAGATGGCTTAACTCTCTCCCAAAAGTCATCTCGGTGAAGGTTCTTCCAGGTTGCAAATGGATTGATGCTCCAGCAACCCTTCTGGGCCATAAACCAGGTCTTCAGAGCAGGTCCAAGAACGGATCCTGCAGGGGGGCGCCGCTCATAATTGTGGCGATTTAACCACATTACGAGCGGACACAAACAGAGCATGAATGTTGGGAGCGTATAAGACAACCAAAACCCGACATATTTCTCGGCGAAGACCATCTACTGGTTGATTAGACTTGTTACGTATGACAGGAATAGGTGTCGGGGTCCGGGTGGTGAGTGAAGCTATTCCGAGGTGGCTGGTTGGTGTTGCGCCCAGACAACCCCTGAATGCATTTCTACACAAACCGCCCTTCAATTAATCAGAAACACTCACAGTAACCTGACCGACCAAAGCGCCAATGTTGATTGCGAAATAGAACCCTGGATTGTGTCAGTTGTGAGTTGTCAATCGTCTCGAGAGCACTCACACATGTAAACCCGTTCAATGGTCACGGCAGGGTCAACAACGACACGCTCACCAGACTTCAGAGTCTTAACATGCAGGTATTGCTCGCCAAGCTGCTCAACAATGAGAGGATTGACATTAGGTTTGAATCCACCAGTGCCGAAACCGATGACAATGATAGCAATGATCATGGCGCCAAGTGCACCACCTTGGTTAGAGATAACTGGGGGGATCGCAGACATTATGAGAATTATGTGGCCGATAATGTCAATCCCGAGTGCCCAGCTGATGGTTTTATAGCGACCCCAGTACTGGTCAGCAACATAGGCACCGAGAAGGGGCATAAAGTATTGCCAGAACTGGTTGAAGGTGGTGATTCCGGTCGAGGCGCGCTGCTCCATTCCGAGAGCACCAGGCTGATCAGCGTCAGCACCTGTGGTAGAGCCTTCGGGGAGCTTATGCTGAATGAAATTGGTGACTTTCTGAGTTAGTATGACTGAACTTATGTTGTCGAGGCTGAGTGAAAACTTACAAACAACGGTACAGCCATAATAAGAGAAGCGCTCGCACAACTCGATAAAAGCAATACTGAACAGCTTCATGGGAATCTTGTTTGGGACCCGGCGCAAAGTGCCTAATTCCTCAGCAGTCGGAAACTGACCATCTGGTGTGACACCACCAGCAGGGGCAACAGCTCCCGCATCTGCAGTGGCTGGACGAGGGTCGGTGACGATAGAGGCTCTCTTCTCGGCAGAGATAGAAGCTCGCTTCTCGTCAAGGACCTCAGCTCGGAGACCGGCCACAGTTATGGGCTCGGCGAGACTGTCTCCTGCAGGCGCCATGGTGGTATGTGTACGGATGTTTAGGTCCGCAGAAATGAGACAAGATAGAGGTCAATACAACAGCACTCTGCCAGATACGAGCCAGAGAATTCTGTCACGGGGAGAGACGTTTTATATCTCTTTGGAGTGTCGGACAATGCTACCATAATGGACCTTGTACACCGGATAGAACCGAGTACGATCGGCATCGAATAAGAAGCCAGAGGGGGGCAATTGGACAAAGCCAAGACGCCAGATCTGACGAGAAAACGCGAGATATGCATCTTGAAAGTCAGGAGGACGTATCAACTGCAAGGATGCAGAGAAAGAAGAAGGTCGTAATTGCTACCTACTATAAAAGGCTTGATACCAGGAGCCTCACGACAAGGGTGGATTCCTTCTCATCCTGCCAAGATATCTCATGCAGTTTGATAGTCGATACAGGATTTCACGGTCATCAAGGAAGCGATGTGCATACTGTTGGTTGGTCATCTTATACAGAGTACCACTGTATATACAATCTAAACGCTCCACGTTAGGATGAGGTTGAACTTTTGCAGTATACTAGCCTCACATTTACTTGGCAAAGACAAAAAAGTTCTTAGTAGCGTCCTTTAGCTTGCCAATGCAAGCCAATGTTCGGGAAATTTATTTCTGCATCTGGGCGATATGGTCTGTGTGAGACTTGAGGACGCCACCTAGGCATTGACATAGGCTAACATTTTGAAGCTCTACAGCTGTGAAATTGCATCAATGAACTCAGAAAGAGTTGTGAGACCTTCACCTCGGGTCGTGAGAATCTTTTTGATAAGGACCAGAGTATCGAGGTATTGATGACTTCGACTTGGCAAACCGTATAGTCCTTATCTGTGGGATCCAAGTTAGGATATGACTCCGACAATGCGACACAAAGGTTACGGAGCTAAACTCAGTATGCATCTGAAGCAGTCAAAACGTTCCTGATTAGCCAGTCTGCAGCCGCCCCGTGATAACGAGGATGCCAAGACAGACACTGGGGGGGCTAGGTGCTGGTGGTTGTTACTCGATCTTGGCATAAGAAGATCCATGGAACGTTAAGAACTTTTGTAAGTCTGGGCATGATAAATGGGGAATAGATAAGTAGGGGATGGCATTGGATTTCCGTGTTGCAGTCGGTTTAAGGTTGTGAGATCGGCCATGATAAGGGCTCGTACCAATGGGATACGAAAATTGGTCCAGGGCACAGTACTGTACTACGACTTATACCCAAATGATTTACTAGTCGATGGTCCTTTTTGGCTTCATGCTTCCAGGTGGTGACAGAATCTTCCTCAAAGGCTCGAAGGACCATTGTACATAGGCTAGTATCATTGGATCAAGATATGCCTGGACATACTCCGTATACAATGTCATTTTCTTGCCAGTCACCAAGGACATCTACCGTATTATCTACCAGACCACCACACGAGACCATCCCCAGCTCTTTGTTCTGTAGACTGCCACCTTCCTATTCCCGCCTAATCGCCCCGCACTGCGATAATCCTTGAAAGCAGCTTAATTTAAGCTTCTTTCAACGAGCAATCACCCGCAGCAATTCGATTGGACAGCATCAGTAAACTCACCCATACAGAACTTTCTGATTGCCAAGTCGCCGCTTCTGACAACATGATCAGAGAGACAGCCTGGAGTAGGACTGTGTTTAGCATGTGTAATTTCCTCAATATGGCAGTTGTGATATAGAAAATATGGTAAAGCGGATATCATCGGATAATTGATGCATCGACAGCCTGATCATGTTGTAACCTAAAAGCGGTTGGTCCTGGCAGCTTCGTCGCAAGTACATCACTCTCGAATTATGGCAAGTATCATGAACCCCAAAAATCTGAATAATGCCAGGTTCAGTAGTCAGAAGTGGATATACTAGATGGTACATCTCGTTTGTATGGTCCCAGGTATGCTCCTTGAACAATGATCCCGTGCAATTAGTGGTTTCCCACTTCCAGCACACACTGCCTACCGTTTGCTCGACCTGTTTGTGCCCAAAGATGTTCGAATTACCCAGTACTTCATGCTTCGAATACTGGTAACACTTCGCCATGGGTCTTGCGTTTTTACCATCGTAAATTGACATGCCGTTTTGCATCAACGACGTGATCTCTGTGCCGGAGTCTTGTCATAAGATGTTTTCTGTTCCTCTTCTTTTTCGGTGATAACCTGTCAGTCTAACGTTGTATATAGCCATAACGCCATCGTAGAATTTGAACTTAGGGAGAAACAGGGAGTACACAATTTACATTACCGAACAGCAAGCCGCCGACTCATTGAGACAACCAGAAGGCTCTTCTTCAGCTATAATTCTAAGTCAAGGCAAGTTGAGATATGGCATAAAGTGTACACCTATGTATCGTTACAGAGCCAACACGTTGTGGAAATTACTGGCAATGATTTAAGTCATCACTTCTTGCCTTGGAGTTCTGTTGACGCAGACCATTTTACCCAAGGATGGCACGATAAATTTGATGGGGTTGCCGATCAACAGACTCTTCGATAACCCAGAACTCGACTTCATCAGGTGAACAATGAAGAAGAAGAAGAAGAAGAAGAAGAAGAGTTCGTACGCCCAAACAGCAATACAACTACGGACAATGGGCCACCAGACTCCGCCAATTTGTTGTCAAGCCTTCAATGGACATGTCGCAGTCCACAGCAAGATACCAGTTGACAAAGAAGTCGACGCTCTACTCAAAACGGGTGTCTTCTTTTGATAGGACCAAACAATAGGCGAGCCTGAGCGACATAGCCGACAATCTTGTTTTACCCATGGCTACCTATGGTCCCAAACCCAGCAACCTATTCAACGACTTGAAACTCTGAACACCGCGAAGGTCTTCTCTCCAACGTTCTTTTGGTCGTGCAAGGGATTTTTGGAAGGCCAGGCATCAGCCAGTCGATCTTCCCAACCAACCATACGCCGATGAAAGCTTCTGTTTTTGGGTACGTATAATGAGATATTGAAGTTATTACCTATAAAAGATGGTCAAGAATGAGTGATAAGTTTTGCACACGTCACGCAGACACTTGCACAGCACTGTTGGTCGCGTAATCGAGAAAGATGTCTGAAACAATTTTAGGACCCTCACATGAATCCATTCTAACTGGTTGGTATCTTTCCGAGAAGATAAAAAAGTCTAATAATACAGCCGTGACAAAAGCCCTTTTTGATGATCCAAGTCTATTGCATTTCTTTTAAGCTCCCGGATTGGTAAACACCAATTCCCTATGATCGGAAGGTCATCCATTTCCACGGGACCCAAGCATTCCCTTACAGCTTGCCCTTGAGCAAGTTGTTGATCATCTCGCGACCAGTGATGCGAGTGGTATCCCAGAGGGTAGGGAAGTCGAGGGTGCTGGACAGGCCGTCGGCAAAGCCAAAGAAGAGCATGGGAGGGATCCAGCCTCGGGCGTACTCGAGCGCGAAGCAGCCCTCGGGCATCTTGTATTGCTTGACATCGCCGCGGCGAAGGTGGTGGATGCTGCCGGCGGGATACACCTCGGCCTTGTACTCGCCAGGGACGTAAGCTAGCTGAGTTCCAGAAAGGATGTGGAAGTAGTCGTCGGCGGTGTGGCGACCAGTGTGACCTTCGGTACCGATGGCAGTGCCTGTTTGACAGAATGTTAGCGACTGATATGCAATTGCAGCAGACAAACATACCAAAGATGATGAGGTACTCGGTAACACTGGCGTGGATGATGTACATGGCACCCATAGCACCACCAGCGTTGTTAAAGACCCATTCCTCCTTGAGGTTGATATGCTCGGGAACCTTCTCGTTAAGCTCCGTGACAATGTACTGCACAACCGATCGGGTGTCCTCTCCGTGCTTAGCGATGGCTCGCTTAGATAGATCGTCGAGGTGATCGAGGTCGAAGATGTAGAATTGGTTCAGGTTCTGCTCGACAAAGTAGACGACAGAGCTCAGGAGAGCTGTGAGGAGACCGAGAACCAGGAGGAGCTTGTTGAGGCCGCTGCCCTGCGACGCGGCCGTCGCAGAGGACTTTGACTTTGACTTGTTCTTTGCCATTGTGTTGACCGACCAAGTTGAACAAGTTGAAAGGAACAAGTCGTCGCAAATCAATCGCGTGAAGAAGGGGGCTATTAGTCCACAATTTCTGTTGAGCCCCGGAAATTAACTTAATAAGCCGTTCGGAGCTGGACCCTGGGGCCGCCCGGCCCCGGGATTAGCCCATCAACATCTTGACCGTTCCGCATCGCGTTTCCGACCGCAATTTTCTAATCTTGTGAAATCTGTCTGCCAGCTCATAGCTTCGTTTTCGTATTTGTATTCGCGATTATAAATATCCCGAGCCTCGTCAAATATATAAATCTATTGGCTATCTTTGCAAACCATCAGAGAAAATGGCACTGCTTTTCCCCATTGTTCCTCACCGCAACCTCTGTGTATGCGTGGTTCTTTCAACGCCGTACAATTACACCTGAAAACTGGGGGAGAAATAGAAAAGAAAACCAACTCCAATCCCAATCCCAATCCCAACCCCGCCGCGATAGCTTCTGTAAATCGCTAAACATTCCTTCATGCCTTCCAAGTAGAGTTACACATGCCGTCTTCTTCCTGTTGGTTTCTAATCCACGTCTGAATCTCCCATGACCTCTGTTCTATCGGCATCATCCACGTCTTCGTCGTCGTGAAGGACTGTCTGATCCTCAATCTCGGCATCATCCATTGTGACGTCTCCCATGGTAATGTCGCCAGCCGTCATGTCTCCCACAGTGACATCCCCAAGTGTAACATCACCGTTAGCATCACCATTCTGTTTATCCATTTCGTCATCCAGATCAAGATCTACATCGTCCTCTTCCGGTTTCTTTGGTCTGGGTCGCTTGACTGGGGCAATGACACCAAGTTCCGATGATCGCGGCCCCCAACGAGCTAGACGTCTTGTCGCCCGTCTCAACGCCCCGACGTAGGCACTAACTTCTTCGCCAAAGTCATCCTTCTCCTTTGTAAGAAGACAAAGACCGCCCACGCCCTTCTCTCTGAATGGCCCTGGAGTCTTATCTCCATATGTTAGGTTCCGAGGAGTTGAGGTTTCATCATCACTGTCTTCGAAAGGATCTTCTTGGACCTGTAGTCTTTGATAGGCTCTGAAAACGGCACCATCTTGTCGTCTGAGTTTTCGGCTCTTATGGTGTTGGCGGCGAAGACCACGGTCAAGAATGTACTCGACCCTTTGGCTCCTGTTTCGCTCAACAGCGAGTTGATGGGCTGTTGGTGGGCGGGGCTTTCTTGCAACAACACCCTCATTGACAGTATGTGCCGGAGATGAACCCTCGAAGATCTGATACTTGAGGGGTGCACCTCTGCGATTAGAGGCAAGACCGCGACCAAGCCCTCTAGGTGGAGGTGTTGATCGTGTACTATCCATATCAGACTCGTGTTTCGAGGGCCTGATGCGGGGGAGGATGGCTGGACCCTCATCAGCGAAAGATGGTCGCATTTTGCTTCGCTTGTTGTCCCTTTCATTGAGGAGAGCCTGGTCCATTTCAAGAATCTTCGCCCTCATCTTCTGTTTGGAACGTCCAAACTCAATCTCTTCTTCGGTGTCTACGTTCTCTTTTGCTTTCTCTTCTGGGGTCATCTCCACGAGCTCAGGTACGCCCTGGTTTGCAACATCCAGCCCGTAGTCGACTCCAGGCCCGAAGGGATTCTCCTCGCAGCCTTCTTCCGTAAAATCAGATTCAAGATAGAACCACATAAGCCAGAGGAATGCATTCGCTCTCGACTTGCTCGTGTATTCAGTCCTCATGATCAGGTCGTGGAGTTCTCGATGGCGAGGAAAGTGAAGCTCGGCGATTTTCTGAGCTGTGTTGCACATGACAAATATAAGATTGACGGGATTTGTGCGAGGAGTATCCAACTGCTTAATTTTGTCGAGAGAGTTGGGCTCCTCTCGATCTTCTGCACCGCCTTTAAGAATAGACTTAAGACGAGGTGCATCCTGAAGCTGCTTGTAGGCATGAGGATCCTGGCGAGCTTGAAGCGATGGGATGGCATGGTATGTACGGAGCTGAGCTCTCATCTCAGGAAAGACTGGAAACGTTAGGGGTGGTTTCAAGGGTGAGGAGATCGACCTTACAATTCAGAGTGGTATTCATTCGGCCCATGTTGACAAGAAGACACACCATAGCCATTCCTTTTGCGGCTTCTCTGTCACTTAACAGTTTATCGCGAAGCACCTTGCTGGTCTTTGAGCTGCGGGACATTGTATCGATATACAGGTCGGCAAAGCATTGGCGCTGGAGTCGTTTGGGCTCATATGAGTTGGTAAAAACACATTGCTCGTTGTCGAACACGGCCTTGAGGAAGTCGTATTGAATGTCTTCTCTCCAAAGAGGCTCGCCATCTTCCTTCTTTAGATGGCGTATCTTGCCAATCGTCGGTTGATTTGCGGTGTCCTTATTTTGTGATGATTTCGTTTTACCGCGCGACGATTTCTCTTGAGGATCTGGAGTGGCATTGGCCATCTGAGTATCATCGTCCTCGGTCATGGCTCGTGAGACAAAGGATTTGGCTTCGGGCTGACCGGGTGAGCTGGGAGGATCAACCTCAGATGTCGCGGCAAGAGAGGCAGGAGACGCCATTGTAGGTGGTTGTGGCTTTTAACAAAAACGAGGGTATTCGCAAGGGGTCGCGAGAAATAGAGGTCCAAATTCAAATCGTCTGGATTGATCAACGGCGCATCGCGAAAGGACAATTCGGCTAGACTATCAATGTTTGGCAGGGAGATGGAGGTGGGGATTGATTGATGATGACTGTGCCGAAGACCAGATTGCGCGCAGATTGTTTGCGGGTTGCGAATGCGACGGTGATGATAGCGTCAGTAGTGGTGTTTTTGAATAAAATAGAACGAGTCAAGGTTCTGTAGTTTGTTGATACTTGAGGTTGGGAAGAAATGGAGATGGGAATGGAAGTGAGAAGGGGAGTTGTCAGTTCCTCTCCTCAGCCTTTTCCTTGTCTTGCGTTAGTTTGCCTGGGGCAGCAGAGACGCCCACGAGCCGGGAAGTTGCTGAGCGCGTCACGGTACATTACCACAGGAGCCCGTCGTACCTGATTCACGACTAGGGATTCCGTACTTTCCATGGGTCAGGCAGGGAGGTGTTCGGTGGAGCAAGGAGGCTGAAAGTGATGTGGCTTGGAGCAATATTGTGGCGTTATCATATCTTAAGCATGGTCCGTGCTGGTCGCGCTGCAACGACCCGAGCTAATAAGCTGTAGCAGCGGCCTAGCATTATGTTTTCTAGCAGGGGATTGTGCTCCCTCATCTCTTTACATCAACAAATCTCATACCAAAGGGAGCGACCAAGCTCACCACGGCTTCGGCCAGGACGACATACATACTAACCAACAGGGATATTGCCGACGGGATAGTCTCCTTTTTAAAGGTCCAAGACATCGCAGAGAACTGGCCAGTCTTGCAGAGCGCTCAAGAGACTGAAGGACATGCAAACAAACAGAACCAAATTCAAAATCACTATTGTCGGCAGCAGTCCACGACGTTTAAACTCCAGGCACCCAAACCCAACATGGCCACTCCCGTCAAAACGACTACCATTGGCGGTCCTCCAGTGACCGATAGCCCAGGCACTTGGCGTCACCCACGACTCAACGAGATCGCCAGGCGTCGTAATGCGACGACCTTCTCCGAGAAGAATGTGCGCCAGATCGCCTATAACGTCATTGCGCTGCTAGGATTCTGTTCTTTGCAGCTCCTAGCCAAGCTCAACATTGGTTCTGAAATGTGAGTTTTCGCGAACGCCTTTTGCGACCGACCAGTCGTTAACTCCAATCTTTAGTGTTCCTAGCTCTTTTAGGACATACTTGAGCTGGGCATGGTTCGTTCTCAACCTCGTACCATTTATCAACATTGGCATCGCGTGTCTGCCCTTGATTCGACCGAAAGATGATCTCTCCGATATCCCTCTGACACCTGCTCAGCGCAAGCTGCTGGGCCTTGACCCCTCCTCGACCGCCCCGACCCCCGATGCGAAGTTTAGCACACCTCCTCGATACTCACGCACACCTTCCATAGGTGGCTCTGTTGGAAGCCGAGGAAGCTATAGCAGCTCACCTCTTTCTGGACGAGGAAGTCCTCTCGTACAGGGAATGGCTGGCTCACCGTTGGGCAGCCCTCTTTTCCAGAAGAGCGTCAACAGTTTCGGCAATGGAAGAAGGTCTTCTTTTGGATCAACGAGCCCATTTGCGGCTAGCTCTTCTTCCAACCTCTTCTCAGATCCTACTTCTCCCGGTTCCGCTGGAGGCAAGCGAACAAGTGTCGGGCTGAACAGCAAGTGGTTATACGAGAAGGGACGGCGACCATCAGGTAATGCCTGGAACTTGTGAATCAGAGCTGAATACTGAAGGGAGACATTTTGGACAAGCATGTTTGTGATACAGGAAGGGCTCAAGCTATGTGAGCCTTGCTATTCGTCCAGGAGACATTGTGTTCAATGTACATGGAATATGTCTTGTTAGAAACCCATGTTGATATTCTCGTGACGGCTTCGCAGCAGGGGTCAGAAAACTCCTCAATAACAAAACTAATGATTTAAATGCACCGCCCGGCCAGTGATTTAAGAAGATCGCTGTGGAGATACCAAACTGGGTATTCCATAGGCTCGGAACTGTACGGTTGTCTTATGCTATGCGTAGGGAGGCAGATATTCTTGAGAATAGAACATTTCTTATGCCTCTGCAGCCGCAATCGACCAGCGGAGGAGTTGACAAATATCCCAGGCCAAATTCATTCAGTGCATTCCAATCTTGACAACAGGGCGACCAATGAAAGCGTGAGCTTCTGACTTGGCCGCGATATCTTCTGCCTCCTCCATCGTGAGCAAAGTCAAATGACTGCGTATTCCATGCTGAACTACAAATTCCATCATCTCTCTAGTCTCACCCATGCTACCATGGACTGTTCCCTTGACGAAAATCTCTCTCAAGATGAGATTCATGGGGTCGAATTTGAGACCATGCTCAGGAAAGCCAGCAGCGACTAATATTCCTCTTGGTTGCAAACGCTGAGCGGCCCAGTCACTGGCAGCATCATCGCTAGTGCACACAATGGTAGCTTTGAGACCAATTCCGTCGGTAAAGTCGGAGATCTTCCGAATAGTTTCTGGGTCATCAAGCTTGAGTACGAGATCCGGCTGGAGGTGAGAGGGAACTCCAGAAGCGAGCTTCAGACCAACCTCATGGCTGTCAATAGCTATCACCCTATAGCCTCGAGCCTTTGCAAATTGAATGCCCAAGATCCCAAGGCCACCTATACCGATGATGCCAATGGTCTCGCCCTTTGTTGTATCGGCCTGGTTAATGGCGTGCCACACAGTTGCCTGAGATTGGTTGTTAGCAGAGCACGGGCAATAGAACACTTTCAACTCTGGGAAACACACCCCGGCACACATCAAAGGGGCCGCCTGCTCAAAACCTATGCTGTCAGGCAAGGACACCACAGCACCATGCCAGGAAACCATGTATTCGGCAAAGGCTCCATCACGACGAATGATGCCACACATAGTCCTATTATCACAGAAACGTGGATCGAGCGATCCAAGACTCTGCATAGCCCATTTGCATCCGTTACAGCCCTGACAAGGATCCATAAAGTTTGTAACTCCCACACGATCCCCTATATGCCATATCCCAGGTACATCAGAGCCAAGAGCGACTATTGTTCCGGCTGGTTCATGAGAGCCAATGAAAGGTAACGATACCTGGGTTATGCCATGATATACCATGAGATCGGTGTGACAGAAACCAGCGGTTGCTACACGGATGAGAACTTCATTGGGCTTTGGCTTGGGAACTGGAACATCATGGAGAAGGGTGTAGTTTTTATGAAACTAAATACGTCAACGAGTGCAAAAGCACGAGATCTGGGTAAATAACTTCACCTCAACAAGTCTTAATGCTTTCATCGTCTGAGGCACAGTAACGTGAGCCGTCATTATTCCGATATTCTTGATGAAAGGTACCGGATTACAATGGTTAGATGAGAATAGTTGTGGTGTTTAGTTTGCAAACAGTCAGACGAATTCTCCAGGTTAGGCACAACCTTGGATAAATGAGAGTAGCTTACAAAGGAGACAGAATCGGAGTGGTGAGACAGCAAATTACGTGGTTCTCATGCTGACATGTCTTGGCTATTCTAGATTAAGCCAGTTGCCATTGTTTGTTTTTTTAACCAGTTCAGTGATTCCCACGACACATCTTTCATGAACTCATATTTAGATTTCATTCATTGAACCAAAGATTACCCAAAACCATCATACGTACAATTATCTGGCCTGCTGCGTATTTACAACTTGGTCATGAAGCTACTCTTCTCATTCTCAAAAATGTTGGTGAGGGTTCCAATATGAGGCAGAATCTCAACCGCAAATTCGTCGCCGTGCCGGAGCGCATCCTTGGGAGTTCGGCCCATCCCAACACCTGCGGGGGTGCCAGTGACAATGACAGTTCCCGGGGGAAGTGTAGTGCCTTGGGACAGCCAGCTGATAATTTTAGGGACAGAAAAGATGAGGTCGCTGAGTGAAGTCAGTGGGGAGATTGTATAGCTGTGTATGGTGCTACTCACTCAGTGCCGCTCTCCTGATACACTTCGCCGTTCTTCAACCCTCGCATGTGAAGCTTGGTAGGGTCTGTAATAAGAGATTTGAGAACCAGTGTTGGGCCTATATAGGGAATTGTTAGTTCAATCAACCATAACTTTAGATCAACTTACCTAATGGACAAGCCCCATCAAAGCTCTTTGAGAAAGACCATTGAGACTGGTTCAGCTGTTGAGTACGGCTGGAAACATCGTTGGCGGCAGTATATCCAAGAACGTAGTCCAAAGCTTCGGCCTCGCTGACGTTCTTAGCTGTCTTACCAATTACCACAGCCAATTCTGCCTCGTAATCGCCAGACTCGTCCACCTGGCTCAGCTTGGGAATGGTTCCACGAGCTGGCCAAGGATCCACGATCGTTGTCGCTGGTTTCCTACCTACAGGTCAACTCAAAGTCTTGTCTTATGTTACTGATCAGCCAGACTTACATGAAGATGACCGGGATTGCTGGGGGATCAAGTCCACATTCGGCAGCATGCTTTCTGTACTAATCGCGAGTGAGATCCTGCAATTTTCAGAAGTAGCTTGACATACATTCAAACCGACACACCGAATAGTACCGATCTCATTTTGGGCAAGAGGGGACAGAATGCGGTCAATGGTTTCGGTAGTACCAGTAAAGGATCCTGGGGACAGGACTGATGAACCTGACCAAACATTGACAGCAACCTCTTGACCCTGGCGTAAGGCAGCACCAACATCAATATCCCTGTCTGCTGGCTGACCGATAAGGATCTTGGAAGGACTAGATCTCGGTACAAAACGTACGAGACCTACAAGAGTTGTTAGGGTAATGCCTTAACGGACTTGAGATGATCTACTTACGCTGGAGGGCAGATGAGGCCATAGTATCTACTGCGTATGGCGTGATTGGGAAACCACTTTAGATCAAAACAAGTGAAGATAGAAACCAAGAGATCGAGGCCTTGGGCTCTTTATAAATGGTGGACTTAAGCCTAGCGACAATCAATGAACAAGTATTATTAAGGCCGGCTTCGGCATGTTAATGTCCATGTAACAGCGTGCGGGAGATGGGGTCCCGGCGGGGAGACGCCGGACTGCTATCGGTTCGGGTAGAAGCCCCGGAGGGAACTAATGGAAAGCCAAAACATCCATAACTACGGAGTAGGTACCCGTATATATATGTATTGTATACAGATCCTTGCCCGTCGGTATACTGGCAAGTTGTTAGGTAATTGACAGGCTATATGGAACGGAGCCTTTGGACAGGATATTAAATATAGGTAAGTAAAGCACTCTCTATTTCATCCTTTATACTTGCTAGGCTTCAGTCAGTAAACCTATATCAGAAGATAGAACACAACGACACCAGTAAACCACTAACATTTTGATAATGTACAGCAAAAAATTAAGCACTACTGCCCTAAATCATATTGTTCAAGGGCCAAAAAGGATGTAAACGTGCAAGATGCAAAAGATAATGCGTGATCCGAGAATCGAACTCGGGACCCTCCCATGGGAGAGGAGGATTTTACCACTAAACTAATCACGCTTCTATTTGTTAATAGATGCAAGAGTTGATAGCCTATGTAGGGAATGGATGCTGAGCTGCATCCTGTGTAACGACAAATTGTTATCTGTCTACCGATGTTGGAGAGTTGAGACGGAGCAAACAGGCGATTGCGAGCTTCTTATATCAGTCGGGGCGGATAGGATCCGCCTCTGACTTGCTTAAGATTGCTTTGTGGGGCAGAAACGAACCTTACTGCATTGGTTTTAACTCTCTTCCGCCGCGACGTTGACTTTGGCCCAACATAGGTAATCATATTATGGATCGAAGCTCGAAGTACCGTGTTTTACATGCAAGTTCGGTATATGATCTAATCAGTTGCTATACGCAGGATGGATGAGGGACAGCACAACAGCCCAAGTTTTGGTATACCGGTACTGGATGTTGACACGGCACCAAAGAGGGCAAAGGCCAGCTGGTACTTACGCTGTCCACGTCTGGGAAGTTGATACAATTCCAATAGACGATATATCCTACAGTGGTACAACGTATGACTGTATGAAGCTGGTCCAGGGGGTAGAGTTCGGATTCCAAGAGCGAGGTTCGTGTGATTCTCACGTCAAGGTAAGGAGAGAAAAGTCGGTCCTTGGAGGGGCTTCTCTCGAGCCTGAGCTATTACCAAAGTGGGCCATTCTTGTGGAACTGTTTCTGACGGAGCCCAGCTTGAAGCTTCGGGTACGTACTGGTCATGGCCAACCTGAACCCCTCCACCAACAGTCGCCCACCTGAGCTGCAACACCTCGCCTCAATATCGTTAGGTATTCTACGTCACTACATAGTATATTTCTTTTGGTCACATCGCTACCAATCCGCGAACCGTTCCTCAAGTCACTCACCCTACAAACGCCTACCATGGCCAGCAAGGTTGACCGCATAGTTGCCCGGCTACAGGCCAAGATCGAAGAGGGCGATTATTACGAAGCTCAACAGCAGACCCGTGTCGCGGCATCTCGTTATATCAAGACCTCCAACTGGCCTGCCGCGATCGATATTCTCTCCAATGTATCCCAAGCCTTGCTGCGCGCGGGGCAGGGTGGCAGTGGAGGAGACCTGTGTGCTATGCTGGTCGACGTCTACAAGCAGGCAGAACTCAAACCTGATGCTACCGCCAAGGGTAGACTATTGACCTGCCTGCGGCTCTTCGAGGCTGGCGAGCCTACGAGGAAGAAGTTTATCGGTGAAATCATAGCGTAAGTGCTACATTGTTGTCTTGATGAGCTATCGCGAACGATCATACTGACATTATTGGGGAAAGTTGGTCAGCAAAATTTGGCGAATATCCAGCTGGAGATCCTGAGCTTCACCATGTCGCCGGCTCACTATATGCCGAGGAGCACGATACATACGAAGCCGAGAAACATTTGATATTAGGAACCAAGGACTCGCCCGAGATTCTGACAAAGATGGAATATAATTGGTACAAGGAGAGCGAGCCTCATCAAGCGGCTCTCTTCGCCGGCCGCGCAGTTCTCCCATATCTCCTCGTTGGCAATGTTCGTGCTGCCAATACCTGCTACCGCCTCTTCACCAGCTCCCTCTCCAACGATAACCCGAACCTTGGTGTCCAAGACGTGTCGAGCTCCGCTGGTGACATCCGCATCTTTCCAAGCCTGCCTCTACTCAACTTTCTTGGCTTTCTCCTTCTTGCTATCCAACGCGGCGCACCCGAGCTCTACCGTGCTTTGGTGTCCAAGTATGCCACACAAATCAACGAGGCGGGATCATGGGCCGAGGCGCTTGAGATGGTTGGAGAGATGTACTTCGGCCTGTCCAAGCCTCGACAAAGCAACCCTCTTATGGATATAATGAGCGGTTTCTTTGGTGGTGGTGGCCAACCAGAAAAGCCAAAGCGTAAGCAGGTTACGCAACGGCAAGATGCCCCCGCAGCGGAAGGTCTGGACTAGATAATTTGAACTGTGGGCTTGGATGCTGATATACCATATTGTCTTGAGAAAACATAGACAGCAGGCGTTGGAAGTTAAATAAAAGACTGGGCTAACCACGGGGCTGTTCTTCTGGTTCAAACATCCAATTGTCTTCGGCAAGGACTGCCACTTTGGCTCGTAGACTTGTTCTCACAGCTTCAAGAAGTTCTGATGCGGCGTTAGTACGATGAGAATGACAAAGACAAGACATGCCGCACCTTCAGGTGGTTCCGTCATCGCATGACGATGCATCTGGTGATGTTTAACTGCTTCTGCCAGACGTTGTCTTTCCTCTACTCGCATTTTAGCATGGGTAGATCTCTAGTCCTGCGCATGTCTTACTCTCACACTCTTGTCTATGGTCGAGGGGCAACTCATCCTCGTCTTCCATTATCGGTGTCGGAGGGTCCCCGAGCTCAATTTCTCCGTGCTTATCACGAACTACAATCTCAGATGTATCAGATAAAATATCGACGTCTGAATGCAGTGTTTCGGCAGACGTAGAAGTCGATCCAGCGGTAGGTCGCCGGGTCAACTGGCTTTGGAATAGATTACGACGAACGCCTGCTGAAGAGGCGCCGTTACGAGAGCGGGGAACCCCCGTGCCATTCGTTGTTGTCCGTGTTCGATCTGCCATCGCGAAACCTTCAATCTCGTTGGTCGTTGTGATATGAAAGAAGTGTAACTATCCAAGAAGTTGAAGGCGATCAAAGATTGGTTATGTAAAGGCAGATGTTATGTCACCTTCTGTTGACTTTCTGTGGGGTGTCCCGGGGTGTCTTCGTCTAGTCATCTTAGCTACTTCATGTTAGGCTTACTCCATCCTTTTCTTCTCTTCAGCCTATCTGGTCAGGGCAGTTGCACAAACACTTGTGCCTACCTCCAATAAGCATGTAAAGAGCTTAGTGTCACTCGCACAATTACCTACCTTAATCTACTAAGTAGGTAGGCAATCAATAAGCTCCTCACTTCCACTAGGTATATCTTCATATTCATCGAGTCTCATGCTTTTGGACACCCGCTATCTCCAAGCTCAAAAGGCGGGATTGCATTCAACGTGTAATAGCCACCCTCACTCCGTCCTTACAAACATTAAATCTAAACCATTCTTATTTCAGAAAAAGGTATACACTCGACATGTACCGATGATAGTCGAGTTGCGTTCAGGTATGTTGTCGCCAGTACTATTTGCCATGTGCTCCTGTATGCGGAACATCAGTAGGGCGGCCATGTGCCATTGGTGTAATATGCCGTAAGCTCTGTCTCTTAATCGTACAGCTTGTCTTTATCTCCAAGAATGCAGCCTAGCCCATCAATACGCCTCCGGCATCACCCGAATTCGAAAGTTTATTCTGGCCGCTTTGCGGTGCTCCTACAGGGAGAGGTTGTAGGAGTATTCGTCTTCCATGTTCTGGCTGATCCACAGGACGACAGAGCTGTGCGGAATTAGTGAAAACATTCGATTTCCTGGGATAACATTCTTCTTACCTAACGCCAACAAGAGCGTTACTGAGCACATTCTCAATTCCCATACCCAGAGCAGGCATAGCGACGCTGGGCACAACGAACTTGAGAACAAAGACGGTTACACCACCGGCCATTCCACCAGCGAGAGCAGCAAAACCCAAGAACAGAACCACGCGAGCCTTCCATGCTACCCCATTTCCGCTGTAGCTGAAGGAATCGGCGCTTAGGCGTTGCTTTTCGACCGAATTGATGATAAGCATGCCCAAGCTGGAGAAAATAAAGGGCAGCCAGTCAACAAACTTGACATGGATATCGGAGCCGTTGCGTGATGACTTGGACCAGACTGCGGAATCGAGCATGATGTAAAAGGCGATGGAGAACTAAAGCGCACCAGGTGGTGAGTACCAAACTATTGACAAAACGAGCGCATGAAGTGGCGCATGATGCGTTGAGAGAGCCATGCAAGAAGAACACCAAATTCTCAAGCAGGGGATAATTTTATAGATTCAACGTACAATAGCTCCGGCGCTGTAGACACCAGCATTTCGGGCCCAGACCGTGTTGAGCCACTCAGGCCGTCGAAACTTCCAAAGACGTTCTTCCTCCATGGCTACAGATTATGTGCGTTGGGAAAGGTTTGGTTCTTGTAGTTCAGTTGTCTGATGTTGCAGTATCGCTGATCGTTGACGAATGATCGTGTTGACGATAGGTGCTCGGGACTGGAGGCTGACAATGACGAGGCTCACGCGTGGACGGGACCGGCCTTGCTTTAGCGCCGATTGGGATCACGTGATGCATCTCTGTCTGGAAGTGTGACTCGGTGAAGTGGGTCATGATCGTGGAGACATTTCGCGTGGCTGGGTGTCATAAACTGCAAAACACAAGAATCCACTCGCGGAGACGCAGAAGATCTCCGTTGTAGAGAGCCATGTCACATTGATTACCCCGCTGGTCGGTGCGATGCTCGCTCCGCTCACGCAGGACCCTGAAAACAATGGAGTTGAGCTGCGGATAGTGACAAGTATCACCATCGGGCATGTACCTACTAACACAAGGTCTTGTAAGCTGTAAGCTCCAGTTTCGCTTCATACCTGATAGATATTTAGGGTCAGGGCATAAGCAAGGGACCGAAATATAGTGATGTGGCGCATATGATATTGATCAAGGCAAAACTCTATTCAGCTAAACATTTTACTTTGCATGCCGTTTCAACGGTGTCCAACGGTTCGGATACAGCATCTCTATCTGCAAGATAATGCATCAAGAAGGGTAACGACAGGAAGCCACTTGAACAAGACCCAACCGTGGCGGATCGGATATGCAACTAAGTACTTGTCAAATGTAGCAGGACATTGACAACCAATGGTGCCTGTTACGTTCATAGCCGGACAACAACAGATGCTGGGTACCTACCTATCATATATTAACTTGACTGTACACACCACGCTTTCCATGGGGCAACCATTATTAGACGAGGCTCTCAGGCACAACACCAAGAGCCATCGAGGTTCGTGGGCCAAAACAGCCAGCCGCTGGGGATCCAAGGCTGGCCACCATACCTGTGTGGCGGCGAGCCGTGTCTGTCAAGTTTCACCGAATGAATCCAGAGTGTTGATAGCCGCTGCACATTCAAAACAATTGCCGCATTAGCCTCTAGGTATTAATAGGCCGCAGCTCTCCTGATATTTGCAGTGTTGCTAATGTTTTTCAGACAGACGCTATAGAACATGGGCGAATAAGATCCTCCCAACAACACCTGGTCTAGACCTATTCGATCTTAAACATCAGGTGCACCATTCTCCTTTTTACTGGCCTGCCCTTCGCAAACACCTGGCCCACGCATTGACAGGCAGGCATTAGGAAGGTACAGCAAGCCCCAGTCCCTGCCCGCTTCTGTCTCTGTTGTGCGACCCCGTCTTTTCAGTCCCTTCCCCGTCCCATCGCTTCAACCCGATCTTCCCTCTATCATACAATTGCTAACGCGATTTTTGGTAGTGCGTCTCGCCCACTCGCTTGGTTACGCCCACTCATTCGCTCGCCTATGCAGTTATTACATTCTTTATTTCTTTCTTAGTCCTTGTTGTATCCCTTCGTTCGAGTTGCAGGTGGCCGGCACAGATAACTTCACTAATTACCCATCTCTCGCTTGCTGTCTTCACTCCGCTCGCCCCCTTGCCAGGACAATAGACGCGGCATATCCCTTCGGACGTACACATTGCTATCGAGCAATAAGTCGCCTCCTGCTTCCGGATTCTCGAAGAAACACGCCTGTTTTTCTACGCGCTATTTCATCACGGGAGCACACATCTGCTAAATCAACGCTCGACCTCCCCTTTCGACCACCCTCGATATACGCAATTTATCTCACCCACCCTGGATCGATCGCAAAATAGAGTCTCACACGATCGTTCGGCGGTTCCTGACGCCTATCTCACGAGAGATCTTTTCCAACAATACTTAATATCGATCCTGAGGACGTAATTTGTTTGGATAACCATTCTGAGAGATAGCCGATTGAAACGACTACTTCAGCATGAGACCAATCAACTACCTACCGAGACCTGACCTTTTGGTCTCGGTGTTTGCCTCCATTTCAATGTACGGTGGCCTGGTTATGGCTCAAGATACCAAGGATGACCCCAAGAATAATGATCCCTCTGCTGTTCCTGAGGCGACCGATTCGAAGAATAGCGATGCCAATAAACCCACCAATACAGCCGCTGAGGCAGCTAGTACTGAGACGAAAGACAACGCGAAGCCTGCGTCAACGAAAGACGAGCAGTCTTCGAAAACGGAGGAAAAAGAAGAGCCCAAATCTACTGCGAAAGATGACTCCAAGTCTACTAAGGAAGAGGATCAGGCTAGTACTGCGACAGGAGAGGGTCCAACCAAAACCAAAGACATTCAGTCCACGATCACATCCATTGCTTCTTCTGGCACGGAAGAAGCTATGCCTACCTTGACAAGATACAAGCCAATTCCTACTTATCCAGCTCCTTCGGTTCCCCCTACTAACAACGCTCCTTTCATGCGACACTCGAGTGCCCCTGACGGTACCGTGTTTATTGCAGTTGGTGCTATCCTTGGCGCTCTTGGGCTCGCCATCCTACTCTGGCGTCTTATCGTTGGCATCCTCCTCCATCGGTCTGTTGAGCGAGCAGCCAAAGCCCAACATAGCGAGAACGCAAAGACTGGCTTTCCTGCGCCCCCTGCACCCTTCTACAAGTATACTGATACCGGATCGACAATGTCTCTCTCTGCTGGTCGTGGCGTGCGACGAACCACCCGTGGACCTGTTCTATCGTCAACTCCCAGTGCCTCCAATCTGTTTTTCTCCCCAACTGCCGCAGCATCAGGCAACGGGGCTGGCAATCGTGGCTCTGCATTTTTGCCATCTGGTTTTTATGCGGCTGGCACGAGCTCTCCCGGTGGCCAACATGAGAATAACATCAGCATGACCAACTTACGCCCCGATTCACGCGGTCACTTTGGCACTCCTTCACGACATACCT